AAAAAAAAAAAAAAAAAAAAAAAAGAATTTGTCAATCCAAGGAATTTTTGCCCTGGTTCTGATGCAGTGTCTGAGTATAAGTCAGGGTTTGAAGGCCAGATGGCTTCCAGCAGCAGTTTCAAGGTGGACTCTCCTGAGTCTTCCATTTGTCAGCACCACCATGGATGTTCCAGAATGTTCCTGGGGACCCGTGGGGACCCAGGAAACTGGAGGGCCCCTGTCCTTGGTCTTGGAGCTGTGCTTGGTCTTGGGGTGGCGGAGGCTTCTCCGTGGAGCCTGGCACAGCGACCCTCTCACTCCCACACCCTCCTTCTGGCTTTCAGAGATGAACCGGCATCACTACGCGCTCTACGTGCACAACTGCCGCCTCGTCTTCCTCCTGCGGAAGGACTTCGACCAGGCCGACACCTTCCGCCCCGCCGAGTTCCACTGGAAGCTGGACCAGGTCAGCCCAGGGGACGGCCCTGCGCTCACGGGGCCGGTAGGGGTTCGCTCCCGCGCTGATGGCAGCAGGTGGTGACTTCCAGGTTGTGGTCACTTGCTGGGTTTTGGAAAAATCAGCCTCAGGAGGCATATGGCATCCCAGAGTCATGATGGATGGAAACTGTCCCTTGATGCCCATTACAGGGGGAGGCCCACTTCCCAGCCGGGACACTGCGGGCTGGGTGCGCTGCCCACCCTTTGCCAGTGTTGAGCGCTGGGAATTGGCCTCTCCTGATCCCCGGGTCTGGCTTATGATGGTGGTTAGCACGTTTTCTGCATCATAAATGCTCCTTTGGTGGCTCTGCCACCTCCTTTGCATGACAATGCCACTTGCTTTGGTGACAGGAGGTTGAGAACTGGGACCTGAGGGCTTTGAAGCCAACAGTGACTCAGAGCACCCTGAGCCGTTCGCGTGGCCTTTTCTGAAACGGAAAATCCGACTGCTCCAAGGCCTCAGGACTTTTGATGGCCAAGGCCACAGAGCCACGCTTGTCAAAGGCAGATCAAGTGTCAGGCTTGAATCCAGGGCTTTGAAGTGTGTATCCAAGGGCTGAGCAGCAAGCCCAGAGTTGGCCTTTGCTTAGATTCTGATGGGGAATGAGGAGAGTGTGCATATTAAATTATTGAGAGGGAGACTGCCCTTAGCCAGCCATGGGGAGTGTAAAGTGGTTGATGCTTAAGGAAGCAGATGGAATGACACTCATCTTATGACCCTTACTTCCTGGGGCCTCAGCCTCTTGTTTTGCCTTTATTCTGCCCTACCCTTATCCTGAGATGGATGCTTCTGGGACCCTCAGTCTTCTTTTCCTCCTCCAAAGCCTATTGTGTATACTACCTGCCTCACCTTGTCTAGGGTGGAATGATTCTGTGTCCTGTCCCTCCTCTTTTCTTATTGCTGCATTTCTACCCCATCCTCTTCCTAAATCCCTAGGCCCCCATTAGGACTGATCTCTGAAAGAACTAATTCACACTGAGATGTAAGTGGTTGCTATCCCCTTGCATTTCCATAGAAATATACATACATACTCTTTAAAATAAACCCCAGGGAATCCCCACTGGTGGGTTCCAGGCAGTGTGACAAGATCAAGGCTTCCACACTTAGGAGAAAGAAGTGTGGGTGAGTTTGTTGGCAAGTGCCTAACCCTCTCCTAGTAACTCCCATGCTGCTGGATTCCAGGACTCCTGGAAGATGGCATCTGGATTAGTGTGTGTTCCTCTGTGTTTGGAATTCTGGGTCTTGACGTAGTTTATATGATTTCTCAGCAACCTCTCAGCTATGTCCTAACTTGCCAGATGGCTTTTATGGGATGTTTTAAAATATATAATACAAATTGAAGTGAATTAAAATAAATTCCATATTGCAAGGTTTTCTATTTTTTTTTTAATAAGAACACTGCCATGCTAGTGGAGATAATTATAGATACCCTGTGGCGCTTTCTGAAATGGGCTTGAGAAGAACGGATAGAGAAATAAAATAAAGTTGAGGGGTTTGAAATTAAAATTAGGCAAGGAGGGAATTCTGGTTGCACAAATAAATATATAGTGAATCTATGGATTCTGAAATCTGTTCCTAAAGTGGTAGGTTTAGGTGGGGGGGCAAGGCCCACGGATCACCTCCAGATTGTCTTGATTTCACTGACACCATGTGTTGGTGCCTGGGAGGGGCCCCTCTCTGCTCTGCTGCAGGCCTTCCTGTGCACTGGGAGCCAGGAGACCCAGGTTCAGTGACCCCAGGCCACCCCCCCCAACCATGGCCGGCCCCTTCCCTTTCCTTATGTTATGCTGCTCCTTTGGTGAGTGGGGTAATTTAAGATTTAAAACATGCTGAGTTCTCAGATGTTTTAAATTTATGGATCAGAATTATCACTGAAATGCAAAATGTTTGTAATCTTCGTGAAACCGCATAAAATTGTCAAATCTTGGCTTTGCTCGAGTTCTGTCTTCCTCCTTGACTTAGTTTGCACAGTCTGCTATAACAAAGTACCCCAGGCTGGATTTTTTAAACAATAAAAATTAATTCTGAGCCAGTGATGAAGGCCGGGAAGTCCAATATCAAGGTGCCTACCAATTCAGCGTAGCTCACAGAGGACCTCCTTCACACTGTGTCCTCTGTGAAAGAAAGAGAGACAGAGAGAGAGAGTTCTTGCATTTGAGGTTAGCAACCAGCTATATCAAATTATGGTCCCATGCACAAGACCTTGGGTTTGATCCCCAGCACCACAAGAAAAAAAAAAATTACAGTCCCTCCCAGATGACCTCCCTTAATCTCAATTGCCCCCTGAAGGTCCTGTATCCAAAAATATTGGATTAAGTATTTCAAAATGTGAATTTGGGACAAATACAATTCAGTTCCCAGTCTTTCCATAATAAAGAAATTAATATTCATAAATTTTATTTTTAATTTAGTTTATTTGTTCTTTTATTTATACATGACAGTAGTTTATTTTGACTTATTTATACAAACATGGAGTATGTCTTATTCCAATTCAGATCCCAGTCTTGTGGATGTTCATGATGGGGAGATTTATGGTGGTGATTTCTTATATGTGCATAGGAAAGTCATGTTAGACTCATTCCACTGTCTTTCCTAGACCAGAAACCCTGCACCCACCAGAAGAAAATGTAGGCCCAACACCCCATCATGTCAGCTTAGGAACCGGCTTCCCCAACAAGATTCCTAAAGTGCAAGAAGTAATATTAAAAAATTTCAGAGATTACCTATTGATAGATGCCCCACGTCACCTGGACAGTTGGCTTCCCTCTGGAGGAGGACCCAGTGAAGAGCTGCTTGCAGTCCAGTGATAGCCACGAACCAGCCCACAGATTCCTCTTTCTCCTTACGGAGCTCCCTGTGTTAGGGGACAGGAAGACGTGAGCAGTGGGAACCTGAGGTTAAGAGAATGATTCTGTAAGCCGGGCCCGCTGTGCCGACCCTCGAATGCTCTCTTTTCCAGGAAGCAATTTACCTGCAGCTCTGTCCGGCCTAAGTGGACAGGATCTGTCACAGTCCTCTGCACACTACCTGTTATCTGCAGGAGAGATACAGGCCCAAAACCATGTCCACAGAAGAACCCAAGCTCCCCTGAAGGGGGGAGACTTGACTAGACCAGATCCTGAAACGCAGGGAAATAAGGATAATTCCTCCTAACCATAAAATCTGTAAGACTCTATGGTTAAGAATCCAGTTAGAACTGGTCAGCATGGGCCACGGTGACTTAGAGTTGTCATGGCAGTGGGAACTTGGAAGTCTGATGTCAACCAGCTGTCAGTCAAAAATCAAGAGATAGACCTGAGCAAGACTCTCTGGAAACTTCTCTAGGATCCCCAGTAAAACTGGAGGGCAGGCCAGGCACAGAGTCCCTCTCCTCTCTGAGAGGACTCTCTCTCCCTTGAGAGTATCCCTGTTCTCTTTTCCTATCCCTTCTATAAAATCATGCCTGTTTCTTTGAGCAACATGTCTAAAACCTTTCTGATTTGATCACAAGAACCAGGGTTTGAAGGGGGTGCCTTCA